TACCCGATAACATTACCCGATAACATTACCCGATAACATTACCCAATAACATTACCCAGTAACATTACCCAATAACATTACCCAATAACATTACCCAATAACATTACCCAATAACATTACCCAATAACATTACCCAATAACATTACCCAATAACATTACCCAATAACATTACCCAATAACATTACCCAATAACATTACCCAATAACATTACCCAATAACATTACCCAATAACATTACCCAATAACATACCCAATCACATTACCCAATCACATTACCCAATCACATTACCCAATAACATTACCCAATAACATTACCCAAAAGGTCTGAGCTAGTCTTCCCTGCTGTAAGGTTGTTTCCAAAAGTGAACTTAAAATAATGACGTAATCAACTGATTGTTAGAGATAATTTTCTTTTACAAACTGGTGGATGTGCTTGCGAACGTTGATTCTTCCTACTTCCAGAGCTACGGGCTCTTCGAACGAGTTATCTGATTATAAATTCAGTTGGTCATACATACAATCACCTTGAATGAAAGAGGTGTTAAATGTGCTAGAATTAAAGATAAAATAGTATTTTCTGATCGTGAATTCCACATGGGATTAACCCAAAACAAGATTAAAAAGGGATCGAAAATGTAAGAAAGCTAATTTCCAGGAAATTCCTGTACGGAGATCAACTTACTTTCTTCATTATCAAGCGGATTAATATTATTCCAATAAGTCTAATTAAAATATAACTTGCCGCAAGGTCTAATTGCCCTAGACGCTGAACATCTGTTTTTTCGTCGAATTCACGATAGATAAAAGTATTTTTTTATCAAAAGTAGCAGCTTAATGTAAATATTTAATAAAGTTAATAGACTATTTTCTCACAGTGAGAGAAGGTGATAATTTTATGTAGTTGTAAAATAAGGTCGTTAAGGAAATATTTGACAGCTAATTTATTGTGGTAGGGAGCTGGAACAATCAACTAGTTCAAGCTCGTACTACGAGGTTTTTTAAGTTTAAGTTTAATAGTTTAAAAACAAATATTACATCGCAGCCGAAGGGCTGAATTGCATGATATTTTACAAAGATATACTATGTTACAATAGATACATACAGGAGTATAGTACATACAGGAATATAATAAATAATTACAATTATATCAGAAACTATAAAAAGATAAAGTATCGCTAAGATCGAGTAATGCTAGGCAGGCTTGATCAATCGAATATTCACGCAGTGTTGTTTGCTAGTCGGCACATGCTTGGGATGAAGGACCGCTTGAAACGCTTGGTGCGCGCGCCAGGGAGATCGTACTTTCTAATTCTCCTTGGGTTATAATGTTTTACATGATTGGTAGGAAATAAGTGAGATAGTTTGTGGTTATTAGAGATTGCATCAGACAGTTTAGAACACTGTTCCTCGCGCCGAGACTGCAAAGTGTCTAAATTATAGTTACTCAAGCATAGACTGTAAAAGCAATCTGGTAAGATGATACTTAATGCCCTTTTCTGTACTCGTTCGATATCATTACGTAGATACTCGGGCAATGCATGGTGAAAAACGGGCGAACACTATTCCAGGACAGGTCTAATAACAGTGCAGTAAAAGTTGATTATATCACGAGGGTCCACTCCCGCTCTCCTAAGGAGAACCAAGAAATATAATCTCTTATTGGCTTTCTTGATAGCCTCAGATATACGATCATTCTACGTAAGATCATTGGAGAGAGTCACACCTAAGATCTTGGCGGAGCTGCAACCCATTAACGGTTACAGGCTCGACAGCATGCTTCAGTGTTCTTCTTAAAGTCGATGTTCATGACTTTACACTTATCGGCATTTAGGGTCATTCGTTGATCGCACAACCAGGTTTCAACAGCATGAATAGTACTTTGGATGTTGGTCGACTCTCCTCGCGGCACGATCTCGGCTACAGTAGTGTCATCCACATATTTCCAGGAATGGAATCCACGGACCCTCAGGTCATTTATCATTTGGATAAATAACCAAAAGCCCAGTTTAGTGGCCTGCGGGACGCCAGTAGGGACAGGGCCCCATTCCCAGGTTTACTTGTTTTCCTCCCCCCATAAAAAGCATCAGTCCAATTTTTTTCTTTCCAGAATCATTTTACAGGGAGGCACTCCTTGTTCGTGCTTTTTGACTTACTTTAGTCTGGAAGGGGCCTGCACGTTGGCTTTCGGTCAGTAGAGGCAAGCAAAACAGCGGGCTGGCGAAAAATAGCGGGATTGTCAGATTCCGTTGCTGTTTCCCCCAAGCAACCGGTAGGTGTCGTTCGCCTGCTAGTGTGCTCGTCTCTGCCGACCGGGCCTGGAAGAGTCTGGAATGTGCCTCTAAAACCACCTTAAAAGTGTTTTGTAAAACATTTCATGTCATTTTGATTTCGTCTTATAGTTCGGACATGGCCTCCAACACATGTTAACTACAGTGCCTTACTCGGATGCCGCTGGAATTCGAAATGTCGAATGGGATGCAGTGAGTTGAGTTTGAGTATCCATGTAATTTATGACGCTGTCAGATATCACCTTAATACTTTCATTGCTATCACGGCTTAGCACTTTGTTTTTCTGTCATAGTAGTTTAGCCGATACTCAGTGAAGCTGTAGTTAATCAAATTTGTCTCCTAACTGGCATCCTAATAAAATCACGAGGTTGCAAATTCGAGCGCAACCTTGTTTCTAGGGTCGTCTTTCTCCCTCTAGGGGGGAGGTGGAGAGTGGACCCTGGAAACGAGGTTGATTCGGGCGTGCGGTACTAGGTCTCATCGGCGTCAGCATCATTTTGCATGTCTGGACACTTTGGCGACACCTCGTTAAGATATATTATTTACTGCTATACTTCAGAGCTGGGTTATTCGAAGCAAGAGTAGCGCTAATCCTGGGAGGCTGAACACATACTAAAGCACCTATTGTGTTTCGTGTGCCTCGGCTCAGAGGTTTACACGGAGAATACTGACCACAGTTTGCTTTCATTTTTGACCTTTTTACAACAAAGTGTGCTCGTAGAGACTATTACTCCTGGGAGTTCTGCGATTAGGCGTTGAAATGACCGAAACTCTCACTCAGGTTTTTCTTTCAACACGAGCAAACGTGAGCACTCGTTTTATTCCGATGTTTTTCCTATTCAGATGAGCTTACCATTTTTATTACTTAGGTAGAGCTTCCTTCGCAGTTCATGGAGAATTGGCTGTATGATAAAACCACCATGAATTTTGTGAGTGGCCATCACCGCACTAACGATACCTTACCAGATGAACTATTCCAACAGGTTTGCAAAGGTGCGTGATTTGTTTCTATGGGATCGCGCTGAATTACAATAACTTATGTAAGGAACATAGAAAGGTGTTAATCATTTGTCACAAGTGTTTGACGGATAAAAAAAAAAAAATGAATCGCCATGAGGATCCAAACTTCAGACCCCCGAAGATGCGGTTGGACCAACTGAGCATCAGACTGGAACTTGTGGGTGAGCAGATGTAACTGACGAATGCTACGATCTGCAAAGTTGAAAGCTGAGCCCAGTTATTTTTATTTTAAGGTTAACTTATCTTGTGTTGTCTGTGTGCTTTCGATCTTTGTAGCTCGTAGATTCATGGCCGGGTCACAGATGTTACGTCAGTTGTATTTCGGAGCACTCGACATGGAGCTGCACACAAGGTACTTAACAAATCTGAATTTCTGTTTCCTAGACAGGTCTCTGCTTAAGTATTGCCTTATGTTGCTGTGATGTGTTCTCGAGCAGGACATCTGTGTGAAATAATAGTCTCAATATATTAGAGTGTAAGTACCCTAAATGTCCCTGACAGCTGAAACTTTAGTTTCCACTTTTGTTTTTGCTCCTTTCATTTTCAAGTTTACAAGAGAAGAGCAAAAACGCCCCCTTCCGCAAAATACCCAGAGATAGAAAAGTAGTGTGATTGCAAGAGGGAGCTTATCATGATTCTGTAACATAGAACAACTTGGAGTATCCCTGAATGGGACGGCACTCCATTACAAGGTTACCCCCCTATTGTATTCTGTGGTAGGACACTTCACGATCTGTCTCTCTCCACCTGCGGCCCGGAAGGTATTCAAAAGGGGATCGACATAATGAAAGGTTGTCCCGAATATCCTTTCTAGTGTCCTCTGTTAATCGTTAAACAACAAATTTACCTTCCTTTACGAAAACTGAACTAACCCTACTCATTCAGTGGTTAAAATTCAACCCTATGTTAACCCTAAGTCCTAAGAGATCTTTTACTCAGGCTCATTGAACTGACTTGTAAGTATTTAACGGTTTTTCAGCTCAAGCTCAGAGAGTTAAAATTACTTTCTACCAACAGTTCCGAGCCGTGGCTTGCTGTCCTTGAACGGATCTCTAGCAAATACACTGTTCTTAAACCACTTGATCAAGACAGATTTCCCTGCTCGTTTCTTCACATCTTTGCAAGTGGATATGCTGCTGGATATTACTCTTACAAATGGGCAGAGGTTAGTAACCGTTTGATTCATTCAATCTGTTAATTACTCGTGTAAAGTTAAAATACGGTGATCATTAATGTTTGATTCTATGGAAATTCTTAGATGATGTCTGCTGATGCCTTTAGTGCATTCGAAGAAGTCGGTCTTACCAACAGAAAAGAGCTGAGTACAATAGGAAAAAGGTACTTAATTTGGACGTGAACGCAAGGTTTTTTTGTACACTAGCACAAGCCTGCTATCAGACGTTGCACCTTTTTTCGTTTGTGGGAGAACGTGTCAGGTCCCCCAACGTTCGCGCCGCTGAGGTCAATTCTCCTTACAGAAAAATAACGGCTTATCGCTAATAGAGGATATCCTTTCTTGCTTATCGCATGCTACCCTTGAGTTAATTGATGGAATTTAGGTTCTTTCATAAGAAATTGCAGCCTTTTTTGAGACCTAACATTAATGAGAGACAACTATGGGCTGGAAAATTCTATTTAAAGAAATTCAGCAGAAACACTTGACTTGTTATTTGCTAATACTTTTTTTGAAAAAATACCATTTTTAGCGGAAGGCACATTAACATGGAGTTATCAACTATTAAATAATCAAAGTCAATGACCATAACTTTAATTTGTGCTGACCTTTCTACACTTGATCATATCTTGTGAAAACAAAGCCTTATTCAGATTCTCTCATTCCACAGGTTCCGCGATACTATACTGGCCAGCGGTGGTGCCCGCCACCCTCGTGATGTTTTTCAGGACTTTCGTGGGCGACCAGTTGCCTCTGACGCCTTGCTGAAAAGTTACGGGCTTCAATGATAAGAACAAAGAATACATCGCTTTCACGTGAAGTAACGTCGGCCATATTGATGCTGCGAATCGAAAAATCGTCCAACCTTGTATTGCAAATTGACTTATCCAGTGAGAATTAAACCAAGCCGTAGGCCAGACTTGACCCCACGTCAAGCTGATGCCATCAAACTCAGCTTCTGATTAACGTCTTTTTCCACACAAGTGCTACCTTGACATGCCAGTTCACTGCATATCCACCACGTTGACTAACACTTACCGCTGAATCACTTGTATTGTGCAAACCTCACGTGCTGATTGACTAACCTACCCGTTAACAAAGAAAAAGAGTCGTACAAATCCCGCCATTCTCCAGTGAAAGTGTAACGAGAGAGAAAAAAGACATTTTAGACGCAGTGAAATTCATAAGTTAACTTTCTATCAGTCTCGAGCTCAGAATCTCGAGTTGTAATTGGTTTGGGCCTTCCTTTCTTTGTGATTGTGGAGGCAAAGAGGAGAATTTTAAGCCCGCACTAGTAAATTGGTGGGTCTGATGCTATGTTGTCATTAGAGCAATTTTGACTGGAATGTCAAATTAATACGGGATTACTCTTTTTTTCTTCACCTCGCCCTGTGATTGGTCCAGAAAACTGGGGCCGTCCCCCAACCAATGAGATTCAAATCGAATACCAATCATGGTTTAATCAACCGCGTTTTCCCGCGTTATTGGTAGTTCGCCTGTTTTGACTGAGTTCTCATTGGCTAATGATGTTGTCATCCTTTTGTCACGATTGGCTGTACTGATTACTTTTAATTGGTTTCCCTTTTTTGATAGTCAATTGAAAACTACCCTTTTGTGTCAGCAACAGAACGCCTGTTTTAACGCCCTTTTTATTGCTTGATTTGTCTCATACTGCGCTAGACCAGTGATCAAGACCGGCTCGTACGAACTAAAAGTCACACGTGAAGGACTGCTCACTTTTGTGCGTGTTTCTCGCGTTCACATACCGCGCCTGCTGGGCAAACTTTAAGTGAGGTGGAGATATTTGAAGGAAAGACAAGGATGCATCTAATTTTGTTAGGATCACGTCTGGTGCGAGATTCAAGGGTGCATCCAAACAGTCCACAGCAAAGATTTCAGTTTTTTAGTTGTTAAAAATAGCTCGTTTCAACCTCGAACCATCAACTTAACAAATGAACACTTTCATCACGGATGTCATTGCTTCGGATGGCGTTAATCACTTCTTAGTAAGTAACGCCTTTCCACATGTACACAAGCGAGTGGCTGTGCTATTCTGTGGCTTATTAATGGAAGTCCCAACCTTTTGGTTGTAAACAAGTGTAGCAAACAAGATACAGTCGAACCTGTAATGGACAGCTCCTTATTAAACATGAATAAAGGCTGATAGTTTCTAAAGAAACTGTTTGGCGCTGCGTCGGTGAGGGTAACGAAATAATTTGGATATCTCAACAAAGTTGAAATGGTAAATTGGCCACCGTAACGATTACAAAAGCTGACGTTTCGAGCGTTAGCCCTTCGGTTACACGGTTATAAAAGCTGACGTTTCGAGCGTTAGCCCTTCGGTTACACGGTTATAAAAGCTGACGTTTCGAGCGTTAGCCCTTCGTCGAGCTCCGACGAAGGGCTATCGCTCGAAACGTCAGCTTTTATAACCGTAACGGTGGCAAATTTATCATTTCAACTTTGTTGATATATTCAAATTATTTCCTTATTAAACAGTCATTGTTATTATTGCGGTCTCCGTCATCCTTTACTGAGTCAGAACGAGCTGTTTGTATTGTTTTCCACTTTTATAGAACAGTCGCTCAAAGCAGAACCTCTTAAATGAAAGTAAGAATTATCTTTCAGGTAAACTTCAATCCACGTTTATCTCCCAAAGTAAATGTTAGTAGTATTTTTAAGCGAGTTTTCGTGCATTATAGGATCAATTATGGCATAAAACAGCGTTTTTATCGCTATTTATTATACCTCTTTTTGTGGAGCCTATATTAAGAGGTCAACCTGCATTAAGCGGTCACCCCACCTTTCCCGCGGGTGTTTCGCTGTATATTTTCTGCCATACGATCGTAAGCTGTTTATCAGTTTTATTCGACTTCAGGGCCCTACTATCCTTTCATTGCTAAATTTAGTACTTCGCATTACTTTTTAGGAGGGTTTCTGTTGATTCTTAGAAGCACACGCATCAATCTCGGTATAAAGGTGACATTTTCTTGTCACCCTTTGGGCAAATCGTTCTGTTGATCCCTTGGATCATTTAGAGTGACTCGCATCTGATTTCTTCGTGCTATATCATCCCTGAATCACACACTTAGGTCACAAGAATAATGGAAATGCTCACCAACTGAAGAAGCTCTTGATTGTTAAACAAATTCTCCTTGTCAGCACCTTGGGAAATGTATAGAGAACAGTATGGAGAATATGCATACTGAACAGTATGGAGAATATGCATGCTGGTTTTTGGGCGTAAAGGTTTAAGCTGAACGTATTGCTGACAATATTACGGCAAGTTTCCATAAGATACATGAGCTTATTCACGCGCCAAGTTTTACCTCTAAAAACGCAGCTAAATGAACGAACTTGCTGAACAATGTTGGCACCGATAAGACTGATTTAAAAGGATGAAATTCTTCTTATTTTACAAGTAAGATTCCTCCCTCTCATGAGGACTGCTCCCGTTCTATTTTTAACAAAAGTATATTAAGTAAAAGTCTTTGCAATCATATGTCCAAGGAAAATGTTGAGAATTTTACTACAATGTTTTAATTCGTGTTATACTTCGTAAGGTAAATGTGCGTGTTTGACTTAAACTACAGTTTCTTCTTCCAGTTTTCCTTCCGAAACTTTTTCTGTTCCGTCATCTTTCAATAGTTCCTCGTGTAGCAAAACTACCTCCGTGTTATTGTTTCGTTGGCAGAACTCACCAATGCTACTACTGTCCGTGTTACGGTTTCTGTGGCCCCAGGTTGCACATATCTTGTTTACGCCCGAGTGACTTGCGGCCGAGTTTCTTCCGAGCAAGCTCATAAAGCCGCAGCAGAAAACGTAAGAGAAGAACCGGATGAAACCACGCCGGTAGTGCTTAGTGAGTGTACCATAAACAATTGGATTCAAACAACTGTGGAAGTAGAGCAGTGAGGGAGAGAAGCTGAACAAAAAAGCTATCAAGCTTTTGTTATCTTCATAAGCAAAGTCGTGAAGAAGCCAGGCTAGCTGGGCAGGCAGCATGCAAATAGCAAATAAGATCACAATCGTTGCTAATGTTTTAATCACTTGCATGTTCTCTCTTCTTCTTTCTTGATGTACCGCGTGATCTGGTACCTGGTGTCTACCTTGACGCACCAAATCGAGGCCGATACGGACATATGCAACAGCAATAATGGTCAGAGGTATCATAAACTGAAGTGCAAACAGGCTAGCTGTGTAAGCCTGTCTGTATTGAGGGGAAGGCCAAACCTCTGTACACCCTTGTGACGGCTCTGCCAGCTTCGGTTTTGTCACCAATAATAACGGGAGCACGAGAACAAGTCCAAGCAGCCAAATTCCTAAGATCCAGATTAGTACGTAGCGATGACGCATCTCAGCCTTAAAAGGATTCAGAATAACGTAGCACCGAAAAACAGCCATGGATGTAAGTGTAAAGATGCTGAGATTGACAGTGACTGTCATTAAAGGCCAAATCAAACGGCAGTACAGGTCATACTGAATGTCTGCAAACATCATGTAGACGTTAGTTGGAAGGCAGACAAATAGGTACACAAGGTCATTTATGGCCAGGTTCAGGATAAATATGTCATTTGCTGTGCGACGACTTCGTCTGGCCGCTACGATGACAATCACCAGAAAGTTGCCAAGAAGTCCCAGTACAAAAGCCACCGCATAGAAGGCCGGTTTCACTTTATCCTCCAGTTCCACTTCACTGCCCGTGGGTTGAATTGTGCCGTTAGACATGGCTTGAACAGAGCAAGGTGTCGACAATCAAAAATCGGATGAACCCTCTTAAAACAATACGCCACTGTGAACTTCTGTTCTCCCTTAAATCCAGTGACGGTTTTTTTTTTCGCGAATGTGGCCCGTAAATTAAAGCCTATATTTAGGAGTGTAGTCTTTTAGAAGGAGCCGTCGTTCTGCCAGCTATTGTGAACTGGATGACGTGTTGATGTTCCAGGTTCCTCTTAAGGTTTCATGTGTTGAATGTTGTGGAAGTTATTTGAAGCATGTAAATCAAATTTAACCAGCCGTCAGCACTTGTACTGCTATCAGAAGACACAACACGAGCTCATCTGGCTAATTCTGAAAGAAATAATGTTATTACGTCCTTCTGAATGGAATCTATTTACACACAGATTTGCGCAAATAATGAGCTATTAAGGAGCAACTTAATTAAAGCCGCCCTTAACTTAAAACACAGGATTGTTAATAGATCTCAAGATTAAATATGGGAATTATTTATTACCCTTAATGAGCATGTTGTCTTCTACTAATCAACAATCGAGCGCGCGTTAATTTATCTTTCAGCTTATAACGGTTAGATAGATATTTTTAATCAGCTGGGTCGGGTTATTCCCTGTAAAAACAAATGGATGGTTTTCATAACTGAGATAGTAAAAGCAGTCAGCTCGTAACCGTTTCCGCAGTGTGGGGTACGCATCGCAAACAAATTGGTTTTGAGACTGTGGACAGTGTGAAAGTGCAAACTCGACGGCGTGAATTTTATTTACAGTTAAATGTAAAAAAAAAA